AGTGTTGAGGGTCATGTATTATATAGTTGAGTGTTGAGGGTGTATTATACTGTAGAGTTGAGTGTTGAGGGTCATGTATTATAGAAATGAGTGTTGAGGGTCATGTATTATACAGTTGAGTGTTGAGGGTAGAGTTAGTGTTGAGGGTCATGTATTATATAGTTGAGTGTTGAGGGTCATGTATTATAGAGTTGAATGTTGAATGTCATGTATTATATAGTTGAGGGTCATGTATAATAGATTTGAGTGTTGAGGCTCATGTATAATAGAGTTGAGTGTTGAGGGTCATGTATTATATAGTTGAGTGTTGAGGGTCATGTATTATAGAAATGAGTGTTGAGGGTCATGTATTATACAGTTGAGTGTTGAGGGTCATGTATTATAGAGTTGAGTGTTGAGGGTCATGTATTATAGAGTTGAGTGTTGAGGGTCATGTATTATATAGTTGAGTGTTGAGGGTCATGTATTATAGAGTTGAGTGTTGAGGGTCATGTATTACAGTATGGAGAACTGTTAATTATGGCATTGAGAGTAAGTTAAGTGTTAGGGTTGTGCATTACTGGAAAGAGTTCTAAGGTCTGATGTTGAGGGCCACGTTTTACAGAGCTGAATCTTGACGATCATACATTATGAAGTTGGCAGAGTTGAATGTCATATATTATGGAGCTAAGTGTTGAATGGCATGTATGATTTGAGTTGTGAAAGTTGAATGCCGACAATCACATATCATGGAGTTCTGGGCCTGACAGAGTTGAGTGTTGTGGGGTCAGGTATAATTGGGTTGAGCATTTTAGGGCAAAATATTACGGAACTAAGAAAGTTTAATAGAGAGAATCAAGTATCATGAAACTGAGTGTGTTCAGTGCATGGGCTCATGTTATCATACAAGTGAATATGTTGATAGTGTTGAGGATTATGAACTTTGGAGCTGAGTGATTGAGTGGGTTCAGTTGAGTGTAGATGATCATGTATTATGGAGTTAAGAGACTGAGGGTTATACTGTATATCATTGAGTTACCAGTTGAGTACAGAGGATTATGTAGTATGGAGTTGAGAGTTGAATACAGTAGGGTATGTATCATGGAGTTGAGTGTAGGGGATTATGAATTAGAGTTGAGTGTAGAGGATTATGTATTATAGAATGGAAAAATTTGACTCGTGTATTACAGAGTTGAGCGCAGAGGATCAATGTACAGAAATACCTCGCTATTCGCAACCCCGATAATCACAAACCCACTCATTCGCAATTGACATTATAACCCCCATTCGATATTTGCAAAGCATACCCCACTTATTCACATATGAAAAATTACGACCCCCTACAGTAATATTTCAAACCAGGCAGGCTAGCAACAGCTTTCATATTCTGACATAAGGTCAGTTTCATCCCTACTGGGCCAACCCTTGAGTTGTGTTGTTATTTTTCAATTCTTAATTTTGAGTAGATATATGTATTTTTATTCAATTTCTTTTTTCTCTGTTACATGCACACACAATTTTTCATACAGTGTGTGCAAAAACATGATTATCATAAGGTCAAATACATAAAAGATAAAACATTTCTTACTAGTGCGTGATTCCCCCAGGTTGTGGGGTGGAGTCTCGCACCAGGAGTTTTATTCAACATCTTCCGTTGACTGGGGTTGTCATATTGACAACCATGGTTTTAAACGCAAAGGACCCCGCACTGCATGAAGGAGAGAGGCGGCGGAAAAACAAACTAATAATATTGTAATTTGAAGATGTGGCTAGTAGTTGATCTTCGTTACCCGCTTCATAATTGTTTTGTTTGTTTTACTGGATATTTATAGTAAATGCAATTTATGAAAAAAAAATAACATTGGTAATTTTAAAAACCTGTTTTATTTACATTAATGTTTTTACGGCCAATAATATTAAATTTTCTAGAGACTTTTTTTTTTATTGCCAAGTGTCAGCTTGTTTAGCTTCTGGAGTCATCTCATCTTACAAATGTTGGTACTAATCAGGTAAGCACATTTATGATAATGTATTCAGCATTTTTGCAGTTTTAAGAGTTTTTGTCTGGAAAAAATAAACAGGCAATTTTCTGGTCTACAAATCTTGAAATGGATAGAACCAAATTGCACTGGAAGGACATCATCACTAAACTTTATGCGACACATATTAATGCAGTAAACAAATTTTAGATAAATAATTAAACTATTTGGCAGTTTTGTAATTGAGTTTTTGTCTGGAAAATATAGTCTTTATTTTTTTCCTCCCATGTTGATGACCATCCGTGTACAGTCTTGAATTTGTCTCCTGTTTTTGTCACCTCTGGCATACCAACCACATGAGTAAGATGACCCATAATGCATCATCAAAGGTGGACAGGCTTACCAACCCAATCTTCGACAGTCTCGCACAAAGGGGAAGAGGTTCGGGTGATTAAAACTACCAATTGAAGGATTGACTTCTACCTGCGGGTTCTTCATCGAAGAGGGAAGGAGGAGGATTAAAACTCCAGGCATCAGTCCCTACAGTCTCTTGCTCATAGTGAAACTATTGCCAACTGCAATGTGGTACTTCTTTCTTTTCTTTTATTTATTAGTACTGTATTTTTAAATTTTTATTCAATTTCATTTACTGTGCTAAATGCACACACAATTGTTCATACAGAATGTGCAAAAAATAAAAGAAATGATAATCATAAGGTCAAAAACAAAGATATTAAAATTTCTTATGTCGGCGGTAGTTTGTGTCTGCTTGTGAAAGGGGAAGGAAGGGAATGGGTGGTAGTGGTGGGGCATGATTGTTGTGGTGGTGAGTAGTATTGGTGGTGATGGTGAGTTGTGTTGGTGGTGATGGTGAGTTATGTTGAATGTTGGTGATGAAGTGACCTATGTGTACAGTGGTAATGTGCATTTGGTGGTGGTGAGTGTTGTTGGTGGTGGTGAGTGGTGTTGGTAGTGAGTGTTGTTGGTGGTGAATGTTGTTGTTGTTGGTGGTGAATGTTGTTGTTGTTGGTGGTAAATGTTGTTGTTGGTGGTAAATGTTGTTGGTGGTAGTGGTGAGTGTTGTTGTTGGTGGTAAGTTTTGTTGTTCTTGGTGGTAGTGGTAAGTGTTGTTGTTGTTCTTGGTGGTAGTGGTAAGTTATTGTTGATGGTGAGTGATGTTGTTGGTGGTGGTGAGTGTTGTAGGTGGTGGTGAGTGCTGGTGGTGGTGAGTGTCATTGGTGGTGAAGTGACCCATGTGTGGGCATGATGTGAGTTGGTTATTGTTATTTTTCAACTCATATTTTTGGGCAGCTATACATATTTTTTTTTTACTGTTACATACACACACAATCTTCATACATATGCCCCCCCCAAAAAAATATATATCATAAGGTCATAAATATAATGAAGCACTTCTTACGACCGCTGGAGTTGCCTGGATTGTGTGAGCAGTAGTGGAGATCTCAGCCACTACAGTTTCCTGTGCCTAGTGAAACTACATGTATTGCCAACTGGCAATGTATTTTTTCTTTCATATTATTTATTAATAAATTTTTATTTATTCCTCAAATTTACTGGTACTATAGTATACATGCAACCCTGATCCCTAATATATAAAAAAAATATGTGGTGAAAGTTGCCAGCTGGGAATGCATCCCCCTTATTTACATTAATTCTTAATGGGAAAATTGCCCCAATATTCGCAGTTTTGTTGATCGCAATGACTTTAGGAACGTATCCGTTGAGATAACCGGGTATTCCTGTATTACAGAAGTGAGTGTAGAGGCTCATGTATTACAGAGATGAGTGTAGAGGATCATGTATTACAGAGGTGGTGTAGAGGATCATGTATTACAGAGATGAGTGTAGAGAATCTTGTATTACAAAGGTGAGTGTAGAGGATCATGTATTAGAGAGATGAGTGTAGAGGATCATGTGTTACAGAGGTGAGTGTAAAGGATCATGTGTTACAGAGGTGAGTGTAGAGAATCTTGTATTACAGAGGTGAGTGTAGAGGATCATGTATTAGAGAGATGAGTGTAGAGGATCATGTATTAGAGAGATGAGTGTAGAGGATCATGCATTAGAGAGATGAGTGTAGAGGATCATGTGTTACAGAGGTGAGTGTAGAGGATCATGTGTTAGAGAGATGAGTGTAGAGGATCATGCATTACAGAGGTGAGTGTAAAGGATCATGTGTTACAGAGGTGAGTGTAGAGAATCTTGTATTACAGAGGTGAGTGTAGAGGATCATGTATTAGAGAGATGAGTGTAGAGGATCATGCATTACAGAGGTGAGTGTAGAGGATCATGCATTACAGAGGTGAGTGTAAAGGATCATGTGTTACAGAGGTGAGTGTAGAGAATCTTGTATTACAGAGGTGAGTGTAGAGGATCATGTATTAGAGAGATGAGTGTAGAGGATCATGTATTACAGAGGTGAGGGTATAGGATAAGGATCATGTATTATGGAGGTGAGAGAGTCGAGTGTAGAGTAGCCAGCAGCGGACACTGTGGTATGGGTTGGGGCATCCAGGCCATAGCAGTTAATACATCAGAAGCCAGAATGCAAAGAATTACTTGCAAGGGAAAAAGAGAGACATTGGACATGGCTTAGAGGTATTTAGTAACCAAGACATTTTTTATCAACTGCCTTGTCCTTGACAGCCCCAAAAGTACAGTACCTATGGATTCCTAGAGCCAAGGATAAACCCTCGGCTTGCCGTTAATAATGTTTAACCTGCCAATGACTATGGCCAAGACAGTAGGATACTGTCCCAGGCCCTATCTCTTTTATTATTATTTAAATTCTTCAAGCAATATTACTGGTATATATATATATATATATATATATATATATATATATATATATATATATATATATATATATATATATATATATATATATATATATATATATATATATATATATATATATATATATATATATATATATATATATATATATATATATATATATATATATATATATATATATATATATATATATATATATATATATATATATATATATATATGCCAACTTTGGGAGTTACATTAAATGCTGACTATCAATTGTTCTTGTTCGACCATTTTGATCCTTCTATCCTAATTACGTATCAAGAAAGCAATATGCCCTCGTAATCCTCTTTTAAATACTCATCTAAACAACTTTGATGTTGAAACAGGCAAGTCAGGGCTAGCCTTCCCCTTTCATTAGTCTCCTGTTCACTATTGAGTCTAAAAATATGAATGGCAATGTTGAGTACAGTTCTCTCTCAATAAAGTCTATTTTTCACTATACAGTACATGAAAAATTTGTTTAATTGAAATACTTTCTGGAATTCAAGAATGCCATCAAAAATGTCTGCCTCAGAATGTTATAAGAGACTTGTGCATAGCGAGACATTCTTCAGAGCTGGCACTTGTCCAAGACTCTCTGGATCAGTCAGTGAAGGATAATGGTGAAACTGACTGCTATAAGATGGCCCACATACATGATGGCAATGATAACTGTCTTTAAGTGACTGGAGATTATATTTTCTTCCGACCCACAGAACATAGACTACTCTGCTCTCTAGGAAAACATCTCCTATCAGATATTAATATACATATTTAAATAGCACTGAAGCAGAAGCCGTAAACTAGACTCATATTGAAAATTATAAAACACCATCCTATTACATTACAGTAATAATAATGCTTACATATGCACCATAGTAATCTTTGGGGTTATGTCGCACAAGAAATTTTGCAAAATTCTGTTAGTACACAATAGTAGAACAAGGCTATGACTTGTGTTGACTTTGGAGAAGTGATCAAGTTGGCTGTTATCTTTAGCACATCTCACAGTTTTACAAGTTAGCCATTCAGTGGGTAAGCTTGTGAAAGACACTACAAAGATTTCTGTAACACAGAAACTGATTCGACTACAATGGGTAAACTACATCTGAATCATCAGCCCATATGCTTCTGCCAGTTGCTGAAAAAACTGCGAAGTAGAAAAACTTGGCCCATCTAGAAAAAGAGGTGTACAAACATCGTCCTATCACAAGTGAGCAATGCTATCCAATGGCCGTCATGTGGAAGAAAGAGCTAAGCCTTTGGGGACAAGCATGGGGCTGACAATTACGCTACGGCACACCTTGGTTCACCCACACACAGAAACACGTGAAGCTCCTATGATATGCCATAATCAACATGGCTCTTTTTGGTTGTTGTTGTTTTTTTTGTTTTGTTTTTTGATGCTGTAAAATGATGGCTTTTGCTTACAGTGTTGGATGTGAGATATAAAGTATGAGGCATCCTGTGGGGGTTAGAGGGGAGTACTGACTTTGCTTGATGACTGCTTGAATGAGTTGCTTGAAGTTTTCTTGATATCCTTTTGGTTTTGACCCACAGCAGTTGGCAGGCATGGGGGTATCCTTAGTATATGGCAAATTTCTTCTCTTTACTTGTTTGTGAGGCACCACCCAGGTTCTCGGTGCCACCGCCAGGGAGATCTACAAGTATAGAATTATGTGTGATGATGGGACAAAAAATACAAAATAGAAGTATTTCTGTTGCTGTTTTGCTTCAATTGCCTATTAGGATCAGGACTTGAGGATAAAAAATCTTGGGATGCAGAGAAGTATGAGGAAAAATTGTCACTGGATCTATCATGAAACTAAAACATTGGAGCCTAGCACCACCTGAACGGTACAGTGCGGGGGCGATCGGCTCCCTCTTTGACTAGCGGCTTGTGGAATTCACGTCCTGGGCGAGAGTGGATGGTCTGCCAACAGTGTTCACAGTAGTATTGCAGGCATGTAACATTGGCACAGAAGAAGGGGGCAAACTTCCCCCCGCAACGTGCTCCCTGGCATTCATCGCACATTTGGTCATCTAAAACGTATGGTTTCACCTCAACCTGAAAATTTAGCAAATTTAGGATTATGCTGAAAATTATATACAATTACTCAACTATGAATCAAACCAGCATATTCTGAGATTCATCAAGTAAAAAAAGGAGACACACCTCTGTCTACGAAATGTTAATTTAGTAGAGGTGCAAAATACTCCTTTAACAATACAGATGCTCCCTGACTTACGACGGGGTTAGGGACCCAAATCCAGGTCATAAGTCGAAAATGCTTAAATAATACACAGAAAATCTAAAATGGGTGTCTCTTTTTCTTCTCAGCACCACAAAACTCTCACTTTTAAGCTTGCCAGCCATTTTAAAGTGAATTGTAAACGAAAATTTTGTCAGTATACAGTACAATCACTGACGTTGGGACTCGAAAATACGTAATTTGACAAAATTTTGGTACGACTAGGGTGGTCGTATGTCTGGGTGGTTGTAAGTCGAGTAGGTCGTAAGTCGGGGAGTAGCTGTACTGTAAAAATAATCCACAAAACTGAATCACAATTGACAACACTGATTTTTACATAAATTATTAACACTGTGACTAATAGGTTTTATGTATTACAGGTTACCACCAAGTTAATATCGGTCACTCCCAATTTAATGATCACCCCTACAATTAACCGTCTCCAACCACAAAGCCTCCTGGCCTGCTCCGATGTGCAACTCTCTTGTCACATCTTAAAGCAACCAATGCACCAACTCTGAGTCCCAACCGTTACTATTCCTTGTCCACATTAAAATTTATTCAAGATATTGTGCAAGCATATGCCTAAAAATCAGTTTTAAAAAATGTAACTCAATCATAACGTGGGAGTCACCTGTATTTAAATATACAAAAATCAGTGATTATATATGAACAAAGGCTAATATCCATTTACTTGTGATCATTCTTATGAAAGTTCAGTGTTGACAGACCTAAAAAAAAATTAAAGAGTGGTGAATATTCCACTAAAACTTGATATTAATGTGCTTGAATAATTGAAGACACAAGCTCATAAATTTATCAAATTTTTGCTGAAGTACAAAACTGACCATAATTTTTGCAAACATAATCAAAAGTAAGATTCTTTGACCACATGCATATCACAAATTGCTGCTCATGAGTGCCAAGTTTGAAGAAATGGGATAAACCTGACAGACTTATGGATGGATGCATATATCCAGTCTTACACAGAAAAAAAAACTAAAAAAAACTACAGTATTAGTGTAGTGTACACACAAAAGTCTTTTGTATGAGAAAAACATTTCACTCATAAAATTTTCATTGGCAAAATCATACCCACCCTTTTATCAATATCGCCATGCTGTAACTGTACGAATCGGGCACTAATGGCGGCAATATAACTTTGCTGATTGGAGAACGCAACTCGACCAGCACCTTTAGGGTACTTCAACTCCGGGTCTGTGTCAATGCCAGCATAGCAGACTCCACCATAGAGACGATCCATTATCATTGCAAGTTCAACTGTTGATAAAAGAAATATAAAATGAGAATTAAGAGATCAGTACACTGAAAAGCTGGAGAATACCTGTACAAGTACACTAAAAATTGCTCTTATTTCAAAAACACATGAATTAAATTATTACAAATGGAGGAAATCTGTACTTGCACAAACATTTTTTAATCAACATTCTGATCTTGGTATGAAAGTAACTTTAGTAAACTAAAGTGCTTAATGAAGGGCAAAATGAAATAAACTAGTTCGAAGAAATATATATATAACTTACAAAAACTATATATTGCACATCTAAGATTGACAATACAGTAGTCAATGTAATCATTCTTTAGTCTCTACATGAAACAAAACTAACAAACAGAATCTTAAAATGTGTTACACTGACTGACTCAGGGGTTTTACAGCTTTAAGTCAACATTTACACCAATTAAGGCCATTTTTCAGTTCTATTTAGTTCACTTTTCCATCCCAGCAAAAAAATAAAATTTTTGGACACAATTTAGCAAAACTGTTAACTTGCACATAAATTAGACTCAATATTAATTGTACAAAAACATAATCTTAGAATCAAAGAATAACTTTAGAATAAAAATACGGTAATTATTAAAAAAAATAAACTTAAAAGATGAAAGGAGAAGAGCATAAAGTAAATCACTGAAGACACCAATGTTCTTCATTTCCCTATAAGATTCTTGCAAATACAATAATACTGTACCAGCTGGTTTTCACCGATCCATTTTACGTAAATTTACAATTAATTTGTCACTCAATGAGCCACCTACTTTTTTGCCTCATGAGCCACCTACCCTTGTCTCATGAGCCACCTACCCTATTGTCTCACGAGCCACCTACCCCTTTGTCTCAGGAGCCACCTACCCCTTTGTCTCACAACCCACCTACCCTTTTATCTCAGGAGCCACCTACCCTATTGTCTCACGAGCCACCTACCCTTTTGTCTCACGAGCCACCTACCCTTTTGTCTCACGAGCCACCTACCCTTTTATCTCATGAGCCACCTACCCTATTGTCTCACACCCACCTACCCTATTGTCTCATCCACCTACCCTTTTGTCTCATGAGCCACCTACCCTATTGTCTCAGAGCCACCTACCCTTTTTGTCTCATGAGCCACCTACCCTATTGTCTCACGAACCACCTACCCTTTTGTCTCACGAGCCACCTACCCTTTTATCTCCACCTACCCTTTTATCTCATGAACCACCTACCCTTTGTCTCATGAGCCACCTACCCTTTGTCTCATAGACCACCTACCTTTTATCTCCCACCTTTATCTCATGAACCACCTACCCTTTTATCTCATGAACCACCTACCCTTTTTATCTCATGAGCCACCTACCCTTTTATCTCATGAGCCACCTATCTCATGAACCACCTACCCTTTGTCTACCACCTACCTTTTATCTCATGAACCACCTACCCTTTTATCTCATGAACCACCTACCCTTTATCCACCTGAACCACCTACCTTTTATCTCATGAACCACCTACCCTTTTTATCTCATGAACCTACCCTTTGTCTCATGAGCCACCTACCCTTTTATCTCATGAACCACCTACTCCTGAACCACCTACCCTTTTATCTCATGAACCACCATGAACCACCTACCCTTTGTCTCATGAACCACCTACCCTTTGTCTCATGAACCACCTACCCTTTGTCTCCTACCCTTTGACCACCTACCCTTTGTCTCATGAACCACCTACCCTTTGTCTCATGAACCACCTACAGGAACCACCTACCCTCATGAACCACCTGTCTCTGAGAACCACCTACCCTTTATATGAACCACCTACCCTTTTATCTCATGAACCACCTACCTTTATCATGAACCACCTACCCTTTTATCTCATGAACCACCTACCTAACCACCTACCTTTGTCTCATGAACCACCTACCCTTTTATCTCATGAACCACCTACCCTTTGTCTCATGAACCACCTACCCTTTGTCTCATGAGCCACCTACCCTTTTATCTCATGAACCACCTACCCTTTTATCTCATGAACCACCTACCCTTTGTCTCATGAGCCACCTACCCTTTTATCTCATGAACCACCTACCCTTTTATCTCATGAACCACCTACCCTTTGTCACCTACCCTGAACCACCTACCTCTTACCCCTCCACCTACCCTTTTCTCCACCCACCTTTTATCTCATGAACCACCTACCCTTTTTCTCTCATGAACCACCTACCCTTTGTCTCATGAACCACCTACCCTTTTATCTCATGAACCACCTACCCTTTTATCTCATGAACCACCTACCCTTTAGTCTCTTGAGCCACCTACCCCCTTTATCTCACAGAACCACCTACCCTTTTTATCTCATGACCACCACCCTCCCACCTACCCTTTTGTCTCATGAGCCACCTACCCTTTGTCTCATGAGACACCTACCCTTTATCTCATGAGCCACCTACCCTTTTATCTCATGAACCACCTACCCTTTGTCTCATGAGACACCTACCTTTATCTCATGAGCCACCTACCCTTTTGTCTCATGAACCACCTACCCCTTTATCTCAGCCACCTGAACCACCTTTTATCTCATGAGCCACCTTTTATCTCATGAGCCTCCTACCCTTTTTATCTCATGAGCCACCTACCCTTTATCTCATTTTGTCTCATGAACCACCTACCTTTTTTCTCAATGAGCCTCCTACCCTTTTATCTCATGAGCCACCTACCCCCTTTATCTCATGAGCCTCCTACCCTTTTATCTCATGAGCCACCTACCCCCTTTATCTCATGAGCCTCCTACCCTTTTATCTCATGAGCCACCTACCCTTTTATCTCATGAGCCACCTACCCTTTTGTCTCATGAGCCACCTACCCTTTTGTCTCATGAGCCACCTACCCTTTTATCTCATGAGCCACCTACCCTTTTATCTCATGAGCAAGGCCAGATTAAGGTTGTGAAGCTGATAAGAGGGAAGGCCCTATATATGTACTATGGTATATTATGTGCATATTGTAAATAATTCATTAATTTTTTTTAACAAATTGATATATTTATTCATCCAACATGCAAATATGTTATCTGAAAGGCATAAAATTCAATTTCATACATATAATGAACTCTTCCTTACTGGCTTTAAACTGAGATATCAAATAAAAATATATACTCATTACATGTATAATCTCCTGAATAAGAATTTAGAGAAAATGAAGAATATCAAGAAATTTATGTGGTACAGTAACTAAAGACAAACACTTCTATCCCCTATGGTGTCACGTCACTCACTGAATACTGCATGCATAAAAAAGGGTCTTTAATCTAGTACAGTGACCTCGCTTAACGAACACCTGGTTCGTAATTTCGATTAACGAACTGCCTTCCATAAGGATCTTCAATTAGTTTAGCGAAAAAATTTAAACAACGCTGCTTGCGAACCGACCTCAACATGTTTTTCGCTTGCACTGACCGGGCAACCAGCTTTGTTATCAGTTAAGCAATACATTAATAATCGGTTCTGGGGCTTAAATTCCTTACTATTTTGTAATATCAAAAGTTTTATACTATTCAATAACGTTTAAAGTTTAATATTCAATTTTTAGTCATTTTGTGGTATTGGAACATAATTGAAGAGTAAAGACTAGTTTAATCTGCGGCATCAGCCTCTTAACACAGCAAACAGGCGTCAGTCTCTCTCTCTGTTTTCACTGGAGGTAACATCTTGCTTGAGACTCTCTTCAACTAACTTTTCTGCAACTTGACAAATTATTGGTCATTTAGGGTATTTACATATGACAATATATAGTGCAGTACAGTGTTACTTTAAAGAAAATATTCTTTATTTACAGCTAGTTTAACTTTGAAAAACTCGTGTTGCCATTGTTTTGGATCAACATAGGGCCTAAGAGATCAAAGAAAGTGATTTCAATCCAAATAAAGCAGGAAATAATAAAAACACGAACAAATTATTAAATCAAATGTGCTATGCAAAAGAATATGGCATGTAAGCATCAACTGTGTAGAGCAATTCTTGCCTAAAAGACAAATTTAAGGAAGTGAACAGATCTACAAGAGTGTTTAAAGTGAACACTATTAATGAAAACTGAGAGGTTACTTATCATGGATTAGGGAAAAACAGGTGAAAAATTGATTCAGTTTCTGGTGATTTCATTGTGAAGAGCCAGGAGATTTATGAACATTTAAAGACAGATCAACCTGAACAACTAGGAACAGAGATTTGAAGATTTGAACTGTAAAGGCTGGTTGAAAAAATTTAGAAAAGAGTGACATTTTAAGTGTTGGAAATTTAGGCATGGTGAAGCTGCTAGTGCTTTGATAAAGAAGGGGCAGCAAAGTTTTTAATTAGATTTAATAAACTGATGGAAGAAAATTATCTTCCACAGCAAGTGTTCAATGTTAGCCAGAAACTGGAGCTGTTGTTCTGGAAAAAGATGCCCAAGAACATTCATCACCAAGGATGACCTTTACCTGGGCATAAACCCATGAACCGTCTCACTCTATTGCTTGGTGCCAATGCTTCGGGGATTTCCGACTGAAGCTAGCCTTCTTCACCATCTGGCTTGGGTGTTCAAGCAACAGAAAGTGAAGTAAGAACAATGCTTGGGTTTATTGGAAGTCCAACACGTAAGGCATAGGTGACAAGACAGTTCTTTAATGAATGGAGGCAGTGGCCTCTGTCAAGAGCTACTAACTACTGGCATTAAACTTTCTTTTAAAAGGCTCTTCTCCTCATAGATAATGCTCATGGTCCATGACCCTGGCCTTGCCAGAAATTTGAATATAAACTTTGTGAAAGTGTTGTTTTTACTGACTTTATCCTCGCCAATGAATGAGAATATGATGTAACTTCAAGAAGTTGTACATAAGAAGAAAGAATGTTTAGGAGAGGTGTCATCAGGCACTTCCATTGAATCCTGAACTAACACTGAAACAGTTCTGGAAGACACAATTCAACGTCCTGGGCTGTAAAATTGATTTTGTGTCATGGCAGAAGTCTCCAATAGAACCC